ACCGCGGGTCAGACGCCAGCTTCTGCAAAACAAGAGAGGCTCGTGGGGAATCACCGCCCGGGAGAGCAAGGAAACAGCGCTGTGCTCCTGACCCTTTAGACCTCTAATTCCTTTCAAAAACTCAGGGTCCATGAGGATGCACTCAGATGAGCACAGGAGTATCTCACCTCGTGTGCCCAACCCAGTGATGCTTCGCAGTTCCTCTCACAGGTGTCTGACAGCCTGTGTGATCGAATCACTCCTTCCCTTGCTTCCAAAACCACTCAGCTGTCTTCCCAGTCCACTGACCTCAGTCACCTCCCTTCTCCTCTACCCACTCTGAACGGTAGGTGCCGCCCCAGGTCCCTCCCCGGCGGCAGTGGAGAACCCGAGTCCATAACCTAGACCCTCTCTGAAGCTCTGCACTCACCACATTACTCTCCTTCTCACCTGGATGCCCTAAAGACCCTCCATACCTCAACATACCCCGACACCAAGTCCTCATCTCCCCTCGTAAAAGCCTTCCTTTCTACCCCTATGCCTATTAGAGCTGCTAGCACCATTCTACACCCACCCACCCACCTTCCCCCATGCCTGGGAGTCACCACTGACGCCAATCTCTCTTCTAAGTAGGTCTTGATTGCCCCCCCCCACCCCCACGCCTGCCCACTGTCCCTATTTTATTAGTAACATGTGCTACCATTTACTGAGCACCTAACTATGTGTCAGGTAATGAATGCATTAACCTTTGCTAGTTCTGGCCCTTCATTCTTCTGCTCTTTGGCTAATTCATACTCCTCTCTGAAAACTCAGATTATGCCTTCTCTTGTCCAGGCTTTCTCCTTTCTTGACACCTTCCTTCCATTTCAAGGGTCCTTCTTGAGCCCCCATAATATCCCATGGCTACCTCTTTCAGAACGCCACACCTGGACTGGGTTGTCACACATAGAGGTATCATGTCTGAGGTGTCTCCATGCTCCGCCCCTAGCCTGTTAACTCCAGGAGGCCACGGACCACATCTTACATGCTTCTCCTGCTAGAGCTGGTCCTTGCCTGTATATAGCAGCTTCAATGCTGGGACCGTCATTTCTAATGACTGAAAAATACATTTACTATAGTTTACCTGGAATTCCCCACTATGGGATATTGAAATTGCTCCCTCCCTTTGTTTTTGAATATATTTATAAATGTTGCTAAAACAGGCATCTTCATGGTGTGTTTTTTTTTGTTTTTTGTTTTCAGAGCCCAACCGAATCCTGAATGGGTGCAGCCGAGCCCCGAAGGACAGAGCCCGACCGAAGAGCCAAGCCTCACCCACTTTGTGGTTTTTATGTCTATATTTTCTGACTCTTTTTACAAAAGTAACATTTCAGAACACAGCTTATGGTCACATTTTGCTTTTCAATGTGATCAATACTATGCACTTCAATATAAGACTAGAAGCTATTTTTATTTATTTTTATTACTTTTACACTTGTGATGACACTGACATCCTATCTGCGTTGCTGTTTGAACAAACATTTTAACCTTTTACTATGCTTTGGAACAGGGGTCCTCAAACTTTTTAAACAGGGGGCCAGTTCACTGTCCCTCAGACCGTTGGAGGGCCGGACTATAGTTAAAAAAAAAGCTATGAACAAATTCCTATGCACACTGCACATATCTTATTTTCAAGTAAAACAAAACAAAACGGGAACAAATACAATATTTGTATTTGCATGTGGCCCGCGGGCCGTAGTTTGAGGACCCCTGCTTTAGAAGGTAAATGTCTATGTGGCCCGCAGGCCGTAGTTGAGGACCCCTGCTTTAGAAGGTAAATGTCCGATTTTTTATTTTACTATTGATTATTACATGAAAATATTCAGATGCACTCACAATTTTACATTTACCTAATCTGATCAATGCTTGTTTCTACAAACTTGGTTCCTTTCTGTTTCTTCTAGTTCATCTGTAGGCAGCCCCTTACCTGTCCTCAGCGCCTTACACTGAACCCTCAGTGCTTCGCTGAGCTCATCCTCAGGAAGCCAATGGAACTGGCATCTACTGAGTGCTTACAGCGGCTGGTCTCTGTGTATCGCATTGAAGGGTATTATCTGGTCATCCCTGGCTCACAGGTGAAGGGACTAGAGGCACCAGGCGTTAAGTGACTTAACGGGTCACCCACTGGACAGTGGGTGGGGCTGGGATGGCAACCTCGCTGTCCCATTCTGAAGCCTTTCTTGTTCTAAGCATATTTTCTTGCCTCCTGGGATAAACCTTTTTGGTTGTGATAGACTCTTCTTTCCATATGATGTAATTCTATTCACTGTTTTTAAATTATGACTTTAACAACTAGATTGTAAGAGCTATTGGGTTATAACCCCCGCCCCACTTTTGCTCACTGCTGTGTCACTGCAGGGATGCCGCTGACTCATTGTACCGTGTGCAGTGCGGAGTGCATGCGGCTCTCTGCTCACGCGCTGCCTGCTTGTAAGTTATGGCCACAGCACCAGGAACCAGTTGTTCTGCAAGGTTTGATGACATCTGTGTATACGTCCAGTATATGTATAGGGTCACAGACATGCGTTTTATGTATGATCCTAATTCCTGGCATCACCATTTCCTTTTGTCCACACTTCCTTATTCATCCACTCATTGTAAGTTTTATTTTATCTTGTTACATTTTATACACTTCAGTAAGCTATTATATATTCTTTCTGGAATAAGATGGGTCTAATATAAATAAACTAAATTTACAGTATTAAGAAAGTGACATTCTGAATCTGGGGGGATAAAGTAGCTGAGTTTTGTAAACAGGCTTAAAAAAACACTCTGCTATATTAAGATGGGCAAAATCATGGTCAAGTGCCAAGAAAAATAAATTCAAGATGAAAGGCTACACAGAGCAACCAGAACGTTATTTGCTATATTTGTATCTCCTTGGAAAACATGGGGATACCCCTCACCCCCGTGACTGTGATCCCCCCTCCGCCTCAGAACGGGCTGGCATGTTATGGTCCCCAGAATGGTGTTACCTTTAAAAATTCTTTGAAGTCCGTGTCCTCGTCGGTCTTCTGCTGTAAGAGAGTGGCTCCGTTGAGCTGGCAGCTGCAGAACCGGATGTAGGCCTGCATGTGGGACAGCTCGGCCGCCAGGATGTCCCCGATCATCTGCACCGGCATCTTCTCGCCCCCGGTCTTCTTCCGAACCCGCAGGGCCCTGCAACCAACACACTCTCTCACTTTCTGCTTCTGAGCGACTGTCCCGTGAGGACCTAACGTAGGGATAACCAGTGAGTTCCGGGAAAGCCTCTGGCACCCAGAGGGCACAGTCAGAAGGAGGAGGAGGCAGCTTGGCCAGAAAACCCTGCTGGCTAAGCCACCCCGGGTGAAATGTTAGTAAAGAAGAATAAGTACACGGGGTCAGTACACATGGGCGTTTCTTCTGACTCATTTCTATGCCTTTGGAAATGCTGTGGTTTCACCTTAGTTTCTTAGCAAAGTTTCTTTTGACAAATTCCAACTTGTTCTCACGCTCTAGGGCAGTGGTTCTCAACCTTCTGGCCCTTTAAATACAGTTCCTCATGTTGTGACCCAACCATAAAATTATTTTCGTTGCTACTTCATCACTGTCATGTTGCTACTGTTATGAATCGTCATGTAAATATCTGATATGCAGGATGGTCTTAGGCGACCCCTGTGAAAGGGTCGTTCGACCGCCAAAGGGGTCGCGACCCACAGGTTGAGAACCGCTGCTCTAGGGAAAAAGGGAGCAAGAGCCCAGAGGGCCAGGTGTGGAGGGGGAGGGAGCCTCTGCCCAGGACAGCTGCTGGGCCCCAGGAGGGAGGAGGCAGCCAGAGCTGGGACCTCTGACCCTCCTCCCCGGAGTCTGTCCGCACGGGCACAGGGATGGAAAACCACCCCAAGGAGTGGAATTCCACACGGGCCGAGGGGCTGCCCGATTGGCCAATTATGTGTGGGCCAGGAGCTGCCACTTCTGGCTCCACCCAATACAGAGTCAAGTATATGTTGATACAGTGTGTTTAATGCTTTAATGTCTTGGTCTAGTCAAAGTCTTTTCTTTGTTATATTTCTTTACTTTAATAATGAGGTATGTTATAGTTACAGGGCATTTCATACCATAATAATAAAATGAAAAGCCCGAGAGAGCAGAGAACAGTGGAAGGTCCTTCGCTAAGGGGCCCTGCGGGGAGTTCCGTGTGCAAGTCTGGGGCCTGGGGGCGAGTGGGGGTCGTGGCCACGAGGGGTGAGGCTCTGCACTCACTTCAGCAGCTTCGTGTTGGACATGATGAGCTCCTTCCAGTTAACGAAGATCGAGGTCATTTCTCCTTCGGTGAGAGAGCCTGACTCTGCCATCCGTTTCTGAAAAACCTAAGTTTTAAACACGAAAGAAAAAAGTTAGCTGAAGTGTGAATTTACAACCTATGAGGTCTAAATCAAACAATACCTTCAGACACTGAAGCTAATCAGATCATGGTCTTCCTAAGTAAACGTATTTATGATGGTTAACCTTTATGACTTCCCTACTGACTGCCATTTGGGCTCCTATGGGGGTGGATCCTAAGGGCTGAATCCGGTCACCTCCTCAGGAGGAGGGGCTCTCACTCTGTCCTGGCCGCTGCGGAGGGGAAAGGAACGCCTGCACACAGCACCTGCGCCGACAGCCTGCAGAGCTGGTGCAGGAGGACTGCTGTCAGGCCGAGCCCCTCAGTGTTCCCTGAGCAGTTTGTCCAAGTTCAGCAAAATAAACAGCGAAGACTTATGCCACCCCCAAGACTGACAACCACGCAAACAGGGAGGAGAAGGCAGGCCTTGCTGCGGGGCAGGCTCAGGAGGCTGCAGCTTCTGCTCCGTGCTGTTACCAGGAGGGCCATGGCCAGGCAGACGATGCACCTGCTGAGCCTGTGCGTGTGTGTTGGGGGAGGAGGGGTCCACTGGTCTCCTTAGGTGGTTTATTGAACTAAAAGCCATGGAAACAAAACTATAAAGTCTCACTCTATTTACTCAAACACGCATCATCTTGAAGAACTACTCTAACAGCCGTTGTCAGCATAGGGGCCGCTGCTGACCTCAACGGGCACAAACACACACAGTGAATAGATGGCAATTGGGAGATATTTTACAATATGGCCCTCGCTGGTTTTCCAACCGGATACAAATGTGAGGGGAACACTCCCACTGCTTAATAATTCCTCCGGGAATATCAGGGCTCACGACAATGTCAGGTGTCAAAACAGCGGTGTAAATAAAGTTAGTGCCCTCCCACCTACTCGGTGCCCTGTCCTTCCCAGATGGGCCTCTACCACCTCCAACCGAGGCGCCTGAGTGCCTCTCCCTTCTCTCTCTCTCTCTCTCTCTCTCTCTCTCTCTCTCTCTTTCTCTCTCCCCACTCTGAATTACCTAATCTGGGAAAAAGTTGGCCTCAGATCCGAGCCCTCTCCAATGGGCAGGGAAAGCATTTGAGAGGGCGAGACCTCCCGTCACTGCTTGTGAACTCACAGGCCCCCACCCCTCCGCTCCCAGAGCCGGCCAGCCGGGCCCTCACCTCCACGACCAGCTGCAGGTCGTCCACGTACCGCTCCTCAGTCTGAATCAGCTCGTGGATGTAGCCCTGCCTCTTCCTCTCCATCGGCTGCATGGTGTCCAGGGTTTGGAGATCGGCACACCCTGTGGAAACACAGGGCAGCGTTTGAGAATAGTACTTTAGTCTTCTCTGCAGAAAACCGAAATCCGCCAGCAGCTGCGCCGGGTTTCCAAATGCTGCCTCGCAGGAACTACACAGCTTTCCAAACAGCCCGGGCCTTTCGCGGGCAGCGCACACCGGCGGACAATGACCACTCGGGGCTCCCACGCAGCGAATCAGCAACACCTATAACACGTCAATTTCCTTTCCAAAGAGGAAATGACAGGATGAAGGATTTAAACAAAAATCTCAGAGAGATCAGCAGTGGGCTGAGCTTGTGAAGACGCTATGCCAGTCTCACCGTCTCAAGACATTTTCAAAGATATTGAAATGGTTAAATGACTCACATGCTTCAGACCAGTGTTTGTCAAGCCACAGGTCATGAGCTCCCCACCGGTCATGATTTCCGGCTAGTTTTGTAAATAGAAGCTGTCACGTGCAAGCACTGTTCTCTGAAAAATGTTAGGTAGGTACATATGTGGGGATGTAAAATGTATTTCCTACTGTGAGCTGCGGCTTAAAACATGTTTGAGAAACATTTCTGTAGCTTTCTCAAAGTCAAGTGCTACGTCAGGAAACCTACAGCTCCCAGCAGCCACCGGTTCCCAACAAGACCACTTAACCCACGAGGACTGGTGGTCTGGGATTCACACGAGCTGCCTCACGTCAGGGTGAGAGGTGGATCGATTTACAGGCACATGGGAGCTGAACGAAATGTCAGACTGGGAAGTGACATAATCCAGAACCAGTCGGTAAGCAGCTGGTGCACAGCGACAGGGGAAACAGCTCAGGTCTCAGACAGAAAGAAAAGGCAGGTTGTTGCCAACAGTTACAGCACTAAGCAGCAAGAGGTGCAGGTCTAAAAGCTGGAGAGACAAAGTGAAGGAGGCGTGGGTGACCTCTGAAGGAGAGGCAATCAGGGAGGGCGGCGGGAGGAAGGGGCAGCCTCGGGCAGTGCCCAGGTGGACAGGGGCAGCGTCCGGACAGACGCAGCCTTACCGCATAGGGAGGTGGTTGGCCAGCACTGGGAATGAACAGACAAAGCCACAGAGGCAGAAAATGCCAGGATCAGACTGGGCTTTTAAAGGGGCTTTCTTGCCCTAGCCGGTTTGGCTCAGTGAATAGAGCGTCGGCCTCCAGTCAAGGGCATCTGCCTGGGATGCAGGCTCCGTCCCCAGTAGGGGGCATGCAGGAGGCAGCTGTTCAATGATTCTCTGTCATCATTGATGTTTCTATCTCTCTATTCCTCTCTGAAATAATAATAATATATATATATATATATTTAAAAAAATAAAAAATAAAGGGGCTTTCTTTTTCTGGTGGCCTGTGAATATTTATATACTTTGTATAGATTGGGGCTTACTGGTAGTTATAATGAAGGCAGCTGTTCTATTTTCTGCACATGTTGCCAACAGCTTTAAAAAAAAAGTACTCTCACAGTAAAATGAAAATTGAATAAGGCCGGCTTGGTGCTACCAAGAAGAAAACAGTGCCTCTGTCATGTTCAAAATCATCAAGCTTCTCCTAGGGTCGTATAGCACACGCCCCTGACCAGAATCGAACCTGGGACCCTTGAGTCCACAGGCCGACGCTCTATCCACTAAGCCAAACCGGCCAGGGCCCTAGGGTCATATTTTATTCTGTTCCACCAGGGAGAACCGCAGGAACAACTGAGGTTCTGGACCAGCAGGGCAGGCACATGCCTGTCAGACCGGGTTGTCAGTCACAAGGAGACGGCGTGCACTGACACGGGACGGAGCGCTTCTGACCCCGATGGGGGTTGCCAGCCAATTCTGATGGAAGCCAGCAGAGCAGTCTAAGCCAGCAGAACAGTCTAAGGCGACCTCCTCTCTTACACTAGAATTTCACAAGTTTCAGTCATGCGCATTCCGCCACACCCATGTTCCAGCTCCACTATTAGTTATTCATTCACCCATTTCCTCTAAATCAGCGGTTCTCAACCTGTGGGCTGTGACCCCTTTGGGGGTCGAACGACCCTTTCCCAGGGGTCGCCTAAGACCATCAGAAAACACATACATATTGTTTTGTGATTAATCACTATGCTTTAATTATGTTCATTTTGTAACAATGAAAATACATCCTGCATATCAGATATTTACATTATGATTCATAACAGTAGCAAAATGACAGTTATGAAGTAGCAACGAAAATAATTTTTTGGTTGGGGTCACCACAACATGAGGAACTGAATTAAAGGGTCGCTGCATTAGGACTAAGGTTGAGAACCACTGCTCTAAATGTACCATTAGGAAGGTTGAGAACCACTGCTCTAAATGTACTCATGTTGAGTTAAACGTCTAGGGAGCCATGGATTGGATGCACTGGTTATGTTTCCTCTGATAATAATGACCTTTACAGTGAGTCCTCTCGGGTGCTGTTCTGCATGTCATTGCTTGTGTGCCACCTGGACACGTGTGCCAAGCTTTGGGGAACGATGACATTAAAACCCACCAGCATCGGCCTTTCTCTCTGTTCTGCACCTCAGAATAATGGGGAACGTCTCAGATATTTTACCCTTTCTAAGGCTGGGACATATGTGACATTAACTTTATCAGGGTGACTGCGGGGGCAATCTTGTACCCCACCCCTAGCTGGCCCTTTTGCATGTCATTCTCTGTTCCAGTTTCCATCCGGACCCCGCCCTTCACTTTCAGATGTTCTTCCGGCAGATGATAGGGAAGATGCCCTTTCCCTCCGTGCTCATGCGCCCCTGCATTTCCCTCCTGTGTCTAGGGATGAGACTGTGTCATTTCCTCCCTCCAGCCAGCATCCTGAACCGGCCCTCTCCTGCAGGACCCTTCCCCATGCTCACAATTCCAGGGTCAGTATCCACGGGTTCCTTCTTAGCCCAGACGCGCGGTTCAGTGTCCCTCCTACCCCACTGTTTAAAACAAGCACCCTTCCTCCAACCCCGCTCCCTCCTCAAGCACCCTCTCTCTGGTCTCACAGCCGAACAGCCAATCCCCCCAACTCTCCCTGTCACTTTACCAATTTCTAGTACTTTGGCTTCTGTCCCCCTGCTCCATGGACACTGCTCTGGTGAAGGTAACAATGACCATGCCATTACCAAATCCAGTGACCTCCTCCACCTGCCCACAACACTGACCCCAGGAGGAGTCCCGCCCCCAGCCTTTGTGACTCTCATCACCACGGTGCTTGGTGCTTCATTCTGTGCCTTTGCCTCTGCTGCCTCCAGGCTCCCCGCTCTCCCGGGAGTCCAATGAACTCGGACAATGCTGCAGCCTGGGGATTCCCCTGGGAGGGCCCTGCCCTCGGGAACATGTCGTGTGATGAACCCAGAGGGTTCCCTCATTTTGGAGGAGAGGGGAAGTGCCTTTTGAGAACGGAGGAGTCAGGGTTTGTGGGCAGAATACACCTTCGCCATCCTCTGTCCCTGCACCGTCCAATGTGGCAGCCGTAGCAACATGGGACTACGGAGCACTGGAACTGTGGCCGCCCAGACAGAGAAATGCTGCCCATGTACAATGCCCCGTACAAAGGCCAAGTGCAAAGACCTCGTACAGAAAACCCAGGGTGTAAAGTAGCTGATCACATGCTAAACTGTTCCTGTGGGATGGACAGTACAGATTGGTAGTTACAAGACAGTCACAGGATGTAAACTGCAGCAGAGGAAATACAGTCGGTACAATGGTAATAACCGTGTATGGTGCCAGGCGGGTCCTGGAAATATCAGGGGGCACACACTGTACAGCACACAACTGTCTAAACACTATGCTGTACACCTGAAACCAATACAAACTACTACTGACTGTAAGCTGTAATTGAAAAAAATTAAATGCAAAAAAATATTAAAAAATAGAAATGCTAACATTTTGGATAATACTGGGTTAAGAAAAAATTATTAATTTCATTAATGTTTCTTTTTACTTTTTTTAGTGTGGCTGCTGGAAATTTTAAAATTACATTTGGGGCTGCATTTGTGACTGACATTATATTTTTATTGAACAGCTCAAGCCAGCTGCAACATTCCTCATTATTTTGTTATGTTCAGACCAAACAGAATGCTCGGTGGCTGGATATTTGCAGGAGGAAGCCCTCGCTTGGTGGCAGGGGTGCCGGAGTCTCCACCGTGCAGCCACCACCACCTTTTAGCCACCCTGGCCTGAGCCCCGACCTCATGATGTGCTTTACACACAGTCTCTGCACAGAGCCATCTCACCCACCTGTCACGGTGCGGCTCACGTGATCCTGCCTTGGGGAAACCTTATTCATCCAGTCTCTCTTACCCCAGACTGCCTCTCCTTTGTGTTTCGATGGAATTGGTGTGTGTCTGTATTTTAACACTTCACAAGATGTAGCCTGTATTGTAGCAAATCTGTATACTGTCGGTATGCCTGTCTTTCCCAATGCAGTTAGGGACTGTGCCTAACACCGTTCCTTTATTTCAAACTTAGCAGAGGTCAGGAAATATTTACCCCAGATCCACTTCTCACCTTTCCCCTGCTCTGCTCCTGCACAAAGGCCAACCCCCAGGCTGCTTTTGTAAGCTCTACTTTAGTTGGTGTCTGCCTGTGTTTGCCCAATGAGAGAAGACTCCGGCAGGAGACTGAAGACTACAGGGCAGACTAGGGAAAAAAAAAATCTCTTGCCAGATTATAAGAAAGCTTTTAGTCTCTGCTTGGTAAAGAATACAAATGCGGGGCTTGCATCTCACACAAGTTTGAAGTTGAAGAAGTCCTTCACTGATGAATCAACACATGTGGACCTGGAGAAGGAATATATCTCCCAAGGACAGCTCGTGGTCAACTGCACACAAATTCCTAACGAGGGTCTAGCAGCCACTGCTGGTAGAGGCCACTCACCACACTGCATTTCAGGGAAAAGCTATGGGCTGAACGCTTGGCCTCCCGCACTGTGCTCTTGCTGTCTGCGCCAACTGTTATAAAGGACTTCCCAGTATCCTCTCTTGACCAGTGGGCTCTGAGATCTGCCCATCCAATGG